GAAAAGGGCTTATCCATGTCCTTGAAGCTGTGCATAGACTCAGTGTGAGATTACAAAGTACATGTTGAGAAAGGGGGTGAAAGTAAGTTCTTTGCACACCAATGACAACCTCTCCCTCACCCAGGAAAGAGCTTCAGTTCGCAGCTCTAACAGCCCCCTCTTGTGACTGTACTTATGAACTCCTTCACTTAGAACCAGAAACCAAGTCAGTCAGCCATCTTTCACGGGTTTTGTGTCAGGTCTGAGGATAGATGTCTCAAATTTGCTACCTCCCTCTAGTGGCGTCTTGGTGAAGGGCTTCCTACAGCAATACTCTACGATTAAGGATTGAATTATGTTCAGTTACTTGGAGATTTTAGAACTATTTCTGTGAGAACAAATCACTCAATAAAATTCCTTTTATTTTCCTTATTATCTTGTACTTCCCAAGGTTGAAGGCATTTCCCAAAGCCCACATTATTCATTGTTTAACATAGAATTTGGCACAGAAGAAGCACTTATTAATAATGTGTTGGGTGAACGTATTAATTAATATTTGCTGGGAGAAGTTATATGGAATGACTTGAATTTATTCTTTGTAAAAGCTTCTAATTTTCTGGAAAACAAATTGAACAAAAGTATCCAGCAGTGAAGGTAAATGCAGGATTAGACCGGTGGACAAAATTCAAATAGACAGCACACCAACTCTCACCACCCTTTCTCTAAAAAAAAAATTCACACATCAAGAATAGAGAAAGCCTGGTAATGAGAATATGGCGGTCTATGGCATAGTGGTCATGTAGTCATAATTAATTTAATAAGTACTCAATGTGCATCTATTATTGCCAGATTATAAAGTAACAATAGTAATTCAAGACTGCAGTAAATAGATAAATGAAAGAAATACTGGGATTCCTAAAAGAAATATGAAAAGTAAGAGTCATTATGCCCTCTAGTTATAAAACGCAACAGTGAGACCAACAATATGACTATCCAGTGTTCATTACTGCAGTGTTTGGATGGTGAGGAGCATCCAGTCCGACTGCAGAGAATAATATATATTGTGGCACTTTTTGGTTTTGTTTGTCTTTATATAACAGCTTTATTGAGATATAATACACACAGCAGACAATTCACCCATTTAAAGCATACAATTCAATGGTTTTTGGTATATTCGCAGACTTGTGCAACCACCGCCATAATTGATGTTAGAACATTTCATGATCCCCAAAAGGAACCTGTACCCTTAGCAGTCACTTATCATTTCCCCACATGAAACTCCTTCTAGGCGACCACTAATCTACTTCGTCTCTGTCTTAGTGCGCTCGGTTTGCTATAACAAATTACCACAGACTGGGTAGCTTATAAACAGCAGAAATTTACCTCTCACAGTTCTGGAGGCTGGAAAGTCCAAGATCAGCAACAACAGATTTGATGCCTAGTGAGGACTCACTTTTAAGTTATGGATGGTGCCCTTCCTGCTGTGTCCTCCTGTGGTGGAAGGGGCAAGAGATCGCTCTGGAGCCTCTGTTATAAAATCCTTAATCCCAAATGCCCCACCTATTCGTATGGTCACCTTTGGAAATTAGGATTCAACTTATGAATTTTGGGGGAATACAAACATTCAGTCCATAGCAGTGTCTATATATTTTCTCATTCTGGGCATTTCAGATAAATGGAATATACAATATATGGCTTCTTGGATGGGCTTTTTTTCACTTGCCATAATGTTTTCAAGGTTCATCCATGTTGTTGCATGTGTCAGTATTTCATTACTTTTTATTGCCTGATAATGTTCCATTGTATGGATATAGCATATTTCATTTGTCAGTTCAACAGTTGATGGACATTTGGGTTGTTTCCACTTTTTGGCTATGAACATTCTTAATAAGCTTATGTGTGGACATATGTTTTCATTGCTCTTGGGTATTTGCCCAGGAGTAGAATTGCTAGATAACATGATACCTCTATGTTTAATGGTTTCAGCAACTTTTAGATTATTTCTCAAAGTGGCTGCACCATTTTACACACTTATAAAAGTAACAGAAGATTCAATTTCTTTACATTCTCACCGACACTTTCTGATTTTCTATCTTTTTGATTAAGCCATCTTACTGGCTGTGAAGTAGTGTTTTCTTGTGTTGATTAGTATTTCCTTGATAGCTACTGGTGTTCAGCAGCTTTTCACGTGCTTATGGGCCATTTGCATATCTTCTTTGGAGAAAATCTACTGGAATATTTGGTTCATTTAAAATTGAATTTCGACTTTTTATTGTTGAGTTGTGAGAGTTCTTTATCTGTTTTAGATATAAGTCCCTTATTAGACATACGATTTGCAAATACTTTCTCCATTTTGTGGGCTGTCTTTTCACTCTCTTGATTGTGTTGTTTGAAGCACTGAAGTTTTAATTTTGATGAAATCCAGTTCATCCATTTTATCTTTTGTCACTTGTGCTTTTGGTGTCGTATCTAAGAAGGCTTTGCCTAACTCAAGGTCACGACGATTTACTTCTATGTTTCTTCTAAGAGTTTTGTAGTTGTAGATCCTATATTTGGATATTTGATTCATTTTGAGTTAATTTTTTGTCATGGTATAAAGAAGGAGTACAACTTTATTCTTTTATATGTGGTTCTGCAGTTGTTGAAAACGCTATTCTTTCCCCTCTCAAAAATCAATTGACCATAAGCGTATGGGTTTATCTTGCAGCACTAAATTCTATCCCATTGATCTATATGTCTATCCCTACTGAATCGTTAAGTATGAGCAGCTTCAAATTGAGAAGTCAGTAGTCTGTTTAATAGAAATAGTACTATTTGGCTTCCTTGCAAGAAGGCATTAACATTTCACCATGAAGTTTGGTGTTTGCTTTATGTTTGTAGCAAACACCCTCAAACAGAAGGAGGAATTTTTTCTTTTATTTGTAATTTGCCAGGAATTTATTTCTTTGTTATGAATGAATGTTTATTACACGTCAAATCCTTTTGTGTAACTATTGAGATGATGAAATTCTGTTTTTTATTAGTGTGGATGACTCCTTTGACTGATATAAAATGTTTAATAAACATTACATAAAACCCAACTTGGTTGTGATATATTATCCTTTTATATAAACTGCTAATTCTTTTTGCTGATATTTTGTTTAGAAGTTTTGAATTTATGTCCATTGAGTGGGGTTATCTTATATGTTTTCTTTAAATTTCTTTATTCAGGCTTTAGTATCAAGTTTGTGCTGTCATTGTTAAACGTGTCCTCTTTTTTTCCTGTATTTAACTAAGTTTGGCACACTAGTCATGTTATGATAGGTTATGCTGTCATAATAATCAATAATGAACTCCAAAATCAATGGCTTCAAGAAATAGTTTCTTTCTTTCACATTCATAGTTCATTTTGAATCAAGGCAATTCTCCAGGTCAAATGTACAACAAGTAATGACTAACATTTAAACCTCCAGATCAATACACAATTCAGGGGCTGGCCCCATGGCTGAGTGGTGAAGTTTGTGCACTCTGTTTCAGCGGCCCGGGGTTAGCAGGTTTTGATCCCAGGTGCGGACATACGCATTGCTCATCAAACCAGACTGTGGCGGCATCCCACGTAGAAGTAAAATGACCTATAACTAGGATTTACAACTGGGCTTTGGGGGTAAAAAAAGAGGAAGATTGGAAATAGAGGTTAACTCAGGGCCAATCTCCTCAATAAATAAATAAATAAATACATAAATAAATAAATAAAATTCACAATTTAACCGTCACCACAATCTGAGAAAGCAGAGGTTGAAAGTTGAGCTCGGCAATTGAATGTCTCTATCATGAAGTGACACATGCCATTTCTACTCACCTTTCTTTGACCAAAGCAAGTCATAGGCCATCTCAACCTTCAGGACGTACACAGTCCTCCTGGGTTGCTGGAAGGAGAGGGGAACCGGATGTTGCTGAGCAGTCCATGCTCAGCCTTTGGACTTGTAACCAAGAACTCGTTTCCTCTCTTCTCCCCATGCAGGAGACAAGTACTCCTTCTCCAAGGGAGACAACTTAGGATCCCCTATCAGTGACCCTGATCAAAGGTAGATGTCTGATTGATCTATAGTCTTCCTCTGGTCTCGATGTGACTACTCTTGGTCTAAAGATCTATGAAGAAAAAACAGGTAGAAAACAAACAAAAAATAAACAAAAACAAGTAAACTATCTCCTCCACACACTCAAGTGCAATTGTGAAAGAATACAGGATTATGTCATACAAGATTCTCTTGCAAAGAGAAAAAAGAGAGACACACAGTGTTGGTTTGAAAGTAGTGTGTGACCTCAGGAGGCATAGTTATTGCCTTCCTTAGCCTATGATGAGACTCTGACTGTGCTGCATGCAAGGCGCTTTTTGCTCATTGTTTTTCACGTTCTCTGGCTCAGCCCTCAGGAAGATTCTTCTTCCATTATCTTCTTTGGCCACATTTTAAGGGCTATGCCTTTCTTGTGGATAGATTTCTCAGCCCATTCTCTGCTTGAGTTTCTTGAGAGCTAAGGAATTACTTTGGATCTCTAATGATCATAGTTTGTTTTAGTCCAAACTGCTTTTGGCCATACAGCTCTTTCAAAAGATTAGTTGCCTTCTTATCTATTTGATCCAAGTAAGAGTCATATATTTATGCTTATAAAATACACAAAAATAAATTTTTATATTTTTAAAATTTAAGTAGACATAAATAAATATATAAATTAATAAAATGTATTATTGTATTTGAAAGAACTGTAAAAATCAGCATGATATTGGAAGAGAAAATGAACGGTTTTTAGTACTATGTCAGATCTGAAGATCCAACCATTCAAGATGATAATTAGAAAACTATTCCTGATTTTCCTGAAATAAATGGGTTCATTCAATCTAGCTGTTTAGGAATAAGTTGAAAAGCACTGTGTAATTTATTTTAACCCAAGATACAAACATAATACCTGGGAATCTCAGGGAAGAAGGCTGTTTTATACACAGAACTCAAATATGGGAACATTTTTTATAGAAAAAGAGTTTACATTAGAAGGTCTCAGCTGTGGTTCCACAGTGCCTGGCTTCTTCCTGTCTGTGGTTCATGGGTTTTCCCCAAGCCTCTGAGCAGGTGGCAGCATTGATGGAGCTCTAAGGTTTTTGATTACCTTCCACCATCATTTCTATTACTGTGGGACCCCAGAGAGCACAGAAGTAGACTCCTGAGTCTGACAGTTGTAAGGAAGAGATGGTGAGGCTGATGAATTTTTCTTCTCTTTGAAAGTTCACAGAGAAGCGATCCTGCTTTACATCTGGCTTCGAATGATCCTGATGAATAAGATAAGCCATCTCTCCACTGGGAGGCTGTTTGTACCAGAACAAAGTATAATAATTGCTCCTACTGGTTTCATACTTCCACCTCATGGTCACAGTTTCTCCTTCATTCCTTGTTATTATAGTCTGAGCTGGGGTTACTTTCTGAGCCATGCTGGATCCTGTGGAAAAGGAGAAGACAGGGTTTGTCCTCTGAAATATCTCAGATGGGCCATGAGGACTAGATTCATTTATGACACAAAGACAAAGTAAAGAATCACATAGAGTTTCATTTCCCCACCTCTCTTCTCTCTTAATACTCCCATCAGTTAAAATTTACATAGTCCCTTCCTTGAGCTCTAAGAGGAAGCTGAGACCCCATGTTTAGGGCCACACTTACTGAAGCCAAAGGCAGCCAAGAATGCCCACAGCAGACCAGGGCAGAGCATGATAGAAATTCTTCTCCTGGTTGAAATTTCTGTTATTCTCACTCAAGCCCAGAGACCAGCCTTTCTCTGAGTGCCTGAGTGCTGAGATTATGGGGCTTTTAGAAGTTTCTGCCCCCAAACAGGAAGTAAAGTTTCTGTAAGCAGGATGTTACACTGCCCTATTCAGAGACCGGAACATCTACTCTAACCCAAACCTCTGTCTTGTCTGTTTTTTCTGAGGCAATACATTTGAAAAATGGCTATTATATCTAGCAAGGTAAAGCAATAAAGTTTAATTATCTTTCTGTTATTGAATTCTCACTTAATACCACTGTGATCAGAGACTATATTCTGAAGGATTGAAATCTTTTGAAATTGAGTAAGGCTTGCTTTAAGATCCAGAACAGAGTCAACTTTGATAAATACCCAGAAGGCATTTGAAAAGAATATGTATCCTGTTGTTTGTGGATAAAGTGTTCTATATGTGTAAACTAAGCAAAAATATTGGTTTTGCTGGTTATAGTTTCTCTGTGCTTTTACTCAGAGTTGTATGTTAATGCTTGCCACTATGGTTCTATATTTGTTTATTGATTTTTTAAATCAATAAATTCTACTAGTTTAATTCTACTGTTTAACTCTACTGATGTATGTTTGATATATTTTGAAGCTATTAGGTGCATTAAAAATAGAATTATTCTATCTCCCTGGTAGATTGAGCATTCAATCATTTTGAAGTGCACTAGTAATAATTCCTAGTTTAATGTTTACTCTATCTGATACTAGCATAGCTACTCACTCTTCTTTAGGTTAGTTACTCCAAATGTCTTGTTATCCATATGCAAAAGACTGAAGTCGTATCTCTACCTCACACCATATTCAAAATTAACTTGAAATGGATCAAGGACCTCAATGTAAAACTAAAACTTTAAAACTCTTAGACAACAACACAGATGTAAATCTTTGTGACCTTGGATTAGGCCACGTTTTTAAAATATGGCATCAAAGCTCAAGTACTAAAAAAAACCCAAATAGTTAAATTAGACTTTATCAAAATTAAAAACTCTTGTGCTTCAAAAGATACTATTAAGAAGGTGAAAAAGACAACCCACAGAAGAGGGGAAACTATTTGTAAATCATATATCTGTGAAGGGTCAGGTATCCAGAATATATAAAGAAGTCTTACAATTCAACAATAAAAAGACCCACAACTCAAGGAAAATTTTAATTTTAACAGTGGTTTTATGGGTTTCTGGGGATAGGAGGGAAAAGGTGAAAGGAAATGTCACTTTCCACTATATATTCTTTGGTGTAATTTTTACTTTATACCATGGGTGTTTATTAGCTATTCAAAGATCCAGGAATAATTTGTATTAAAAATATTTTCACTACTCTTAGCACTCTTTTATAAAGATTAATTATTTTTTGCCTTATAAAGGAGTTGGTAAGCCTTTTTTCTCTAATTTGAACCTTTTGTTAAAATAGCTATCATTTTTCTTTCTTGAAGGAACGTTGGGAAATAGGAAGAAACTTTATGCTGTTGCTGATGTATATACAGACCTAAGAGGTTGAAGGAATTGGTGGCATGTTTGGCCAAAATCTTAAAACTCTTGAATAGTGTCATTGGACCTAGGGTGTATGCTGTCATCAAAAACGTTCCCAGTTATTTCTAGTGAGCAAACATCCATCAGAGGAGAGAGGTGGAACAGAGTTAAATGTTGCCTTCCCTTTCTGCTCATTCTGCTCAATCTTTAGCTCTGAGAACAGTATCTGACACATAGTAGGCCGTCAGCGAATATTTGTTGAATGTAGAACAGTTGCACTGGGAGAAAGCTCTGTAGGAATTCCTCTGACTGCTACGTGAGTTCTACCTTTTATAACTGAGGGCCCTTACTCTGAAGATGGACTTAGAGAGGGGAATGGATTAAATGTTACATGAAGAATATATTTTAATTTTTAAATTTATATGAATTAAGGCATGAAAGCATATAATTAAGACACATCTGAAACGAAAATGCTTATAGTGAATAATTATCTTTGGATGTTGAAACTTTGAATGATTTTAACTTTTCCATTGTATTTTCTATATTTTCAAAAGCGTCTATAGTGAGTATATGTTGAGTTTGTAACAATTAAATTTTTTTTTTTTCTGGAGGCCACCAAATTTTCACCCGGAAGAGTTTTAGATCTCTGGTTCATTATGGAAGGTATAGGATTTCAATGACAGAACCTCGAACACCCCAGTGAGGTTATCAACACAATTTACATGTCTGCTTAAAACACCACTGATTCTCCTGTAGAATAGGTTGGGGTTGGTACAAATTGTACTAGTTCATGTTGCATTATTTAAAAGCTGAAATTTTTATAATCACAATGATTAGATCTCTGCATTCTTTTCCAGTTGGAAACAAGCCCCAAAACGTGGTCAAGAACAAAGCCTGTGACTGGAGTCCCGGCTGCATGCTGCAGGTGCCTGAGAACTCTGTGTGTTCCCAGCACAGAAGTACAAGGCTGAGTCTCCTGGTTGGGCTGCTGCAGTACGCAAGGAGACTTGTTGAACTTTTGCTGTAAATCTCTTGTCTTGTTTTCTATCCACTTCTGAATAAATCTGTTTTAGAAGAGTAGAGTCTTTCGCTGCTTTCTTCTCATACCAAGAGAAATAATTCAAAGCCCCATCTGTGTAACCGCAGATGGTAGCAGCCAATTCTCTCTCCCAGACATTCAGGATTGAAGGACTCTGAACCATATTCTTTTTTTGGCCACTCACTACTGTTGAGACAACTAAGATAGGTTATTGAGATATTTTCAGAATATGTTTTATTTTAAAGTATCTATAAGAAACTTAGGGAGAAGCAGAGGATCTTCTTCCATCGCCAGTCTCACAATGGCCCTTCCAGAAGCCATAGTTTTGGCATCTATGACAAATCTTTGACAGATAAAAATATTAATAAGAAATATCTCTTTTCACCAACTTCCTCGGAATTAAACCTAGTGAATAAAAGCATATGAATAAACATTTTAAGGTAAAATTCTATGGAGATAAAGGATTGAGAGAAGATAATATAACACAAGTAAGAAGGGTGGTTCACTCAGCCTGATAGGCATCCAGCCATGTCATCTCTAGAAATAAAAGGAAATAGAAGACCTGGAAATAGAGGGTCCTATAATAATACTACCTTGACATAAGTATCAAAGTGTTCCTGAAACAATCTTATTGCTTCATGAGCCACTGAAGGTCTAGCTTCTTGAATTACTGTTAATTTATATAAATTATTAATGTTGTTATGTTAAAAAGGAATGCCTATCTTTTAGAGTACTCCATCCTGGACTTCTAACTCCACCCTCACCTTTAAGCTGCCCCTGCATCTCTGCAGCACGGAGAGGATCTCTCTCTCTATATATATATCATTCATGCTTCTGCCTCAACAATAGATAGCTGTTGTTTGTTGTTTAGTGTGGACTAGGCTCATTGTGTGGGAAGGTGGTCTTCTCTGTTGTCTTGGTCCAGCTTCAGTCTTAGAAGGGCCCATGTGTCTGGATCTGGGATTTAGGATTTTCTCAGTATTTGTGGCTCTCCTCCCACTGGAGCTCACTGACATGCTTCTCTGTGGGTCTTGTGCAAGAGATTGTCTCCCATCCTCTTATTGGTAGCAGAATTATAAGGGAATTGTTATAGGATCTTCAGCTCTGAATGGTTTCCTGTCCCTTATATTAAGGTAAAGGCCTTTTTCCTTGACTCTTCTCTCTGCTACAATGGATCTTAACTGTGCCCTTGGCAGTGTGTGCATTTGTGTGTGTATGCATATGTGTGACAGAATTTGCTGTCATCTCTTTATCCCCATCCCCAACAGCTCCAGGCTTTTCCTTCATGTGAGAAACTCATCCGGGCAAGATAGTGGGATTTTTGCTTTCCTGCAATCATAACCAATCATGACCTGCAGCTCTATATCTCTGGTGGGGCTCCCTCTGCCACCCACTCTGTCCCCAATCACTGTTGTGACCATGCAGTGGAGGTCTGTGAAAATAGCCCTACTAGTGAGTGAAAATTCCTCTTGTGTCTGTTTGACTCCCAGCAGTTCTATATTGTCATGAGAGCCCTCATTCTATCTTTTAGATGATTTCTCTTTCTTGCTTGTATGGCAGCCAGCTTATCTTTTACCCATGCTCTGCCAAGGTTGTATCAGTCCACGCGCCTGTCTCTTCTTGGAGAGGCCTGCTCCTCATTGGAATCCCTGTGACCTCAGGTCTCTGATAGGTTAAAGCGTAGTTATGAGTTTGCTGTTTATCCAGTTTTACAAGTTAAGGTGGAAGCAACAGTCTTTCATGCTTTATATATCGTAGGAGGAATCGGAACTCTGTCCATCTCCTATTGCATCTAAAATTGAAACCGAGGTATCAGGAATGCAGTGTCTTTGTCAGCATTCTCTCTGAACCATAGGAAGAATTGCAAAACATATTATTGTAAATCTCTCTTCATAATTGAAATACTTCAGTCCTAGTCACTCAGAGAAGGAGGGCACTGTTTTACCTTCTGCTCATTCTATTTCGACTTCTATTCTCTAAGCTTTTTTTTTAAAGTTGAGCTGATTTTACATTTTATTTTTAAGGGTCTCAAAGTAACTAGAGTCTTTCTTGGGTCTTTGCCAATGGAGGAAAGGGCAAGCTCCTAAGGACATCATTACTGATTCTGTGGCTTCAGCTAGGTTGTGAATCCTGGGAGTAATTTAGGCTCAATAAGGAGAAATCACAAGGAGCATTAGAAGGCTGAGGATTCAGATAATTGTATCTTATTCTAATCCAGATGGGTTCTCTTTGGGAACTTTAAAAATGGGTTTTGAAGATGGGATTATGGATATTATGAATATCCAGGGAACATCTCCCACATTGCTGTTCACCTTGGTCTTGATCCAAAGATCATGAGGAGAAGCATTTTGGAATACATATAAGGGAACTTGGACATAGACATTTCCGTTAAAGTAATGAGAAGCAACTGAAGGGTTTTACATAGGGCATATATTTTTTTTTTCTTGAACAAAGAAAAGAATGACTAAACCAATGACAGTAAGTATCCAACAAACATGGCAATCCTACTTGGAGTTTAGGTAGATAA